GAATCAATGAAATAAAGAGTTGGTTTTTTGAGAAAAATCAACAAACCCTTATTCCAAACTAACCAAAAGACAGAGAAAGAATTTCCAAATTAATAAAATCAGAACAAAAAGGGGGACACAACAGACACCCAGGAAACCTAGAGAATCATAAGGACACACTTTAAAAACCTGTACTCCATCCACACAATTTGAAAACTTAAAAGAAATGCATAATTTTCTCAATAGGTACCACTTACCAAAGTTAAGTCAAGATCAGATAATTTAAATAGAACTATAACTCCTAGTGAAACAGAAGCTGTCATCAAAAGTCTCCCAACCAAAAAAAGCCCAGGACGAGATGATTTTAGCACAAAGTTCTACCAGACTTTTAAAGAAGAATTAACGACAATACTCCTCAAATTATTCCACAAAATAGGAAAAGAAGGAACATTACCTAATTCATTTTATGAGGCCACAACTATCCTGATTTCCAAATCACATAAAGACTCAACAAAGAAAGAGAATTACAGACCAGTTTCCCTTATGAAAATACATCCAAAAATACTCGATAAAATACTTGCAAACTGAATCCAAGAACACATCAAAAAGACCATTCACCAGGATCAAGTAGGGTTTCTCTCAGAGATGCAGGAATAATGTTCAAAGATGAATAAATGTAATCCACCATATAAAAAAAATGGAAACACAAACCACATGATCATCTCATTAGATGCAGAAAAGGCCTTTGACAAAATGCATCACCCCTCATGATAAAAGTCCTGAAGAGATTAGGGATACAAGAGACAAACATAAACATTATAAAGGCATTCTACAGCAAGCCTATAGTTAACATCAAAAACAAATGGGGAGAGAAACTCAAAGCAATTCCACCCAAATCAGGAACAAGACAAAGTTGTTCATTCTCTCTGTATCTATTCAATATAGTACTTGAAGTTCTATCTAGAGCAATAAGACAACTGAAGGAGATCAAGGGGATACAAGTCGAAAAGAAAGAAGTCAAAGTATTATTATTTGCAGGTAATATGATAGCATACATAAGTAACCTGAAAAATGCCACCAGGGAACTCCTACAGCTGATAAATAAAGTAAGGAAGAGACAGACTTTTTTTTTCCCTTGAGTCTCTAAGCGGAAAGAGATCACTATGCACACCATGTCTACTCTGTAGACATTGCTGTACTAGACAATTCCTGGCATAATATGCCAGACATAGCAATTCTAGGGATAAGAAATTGAAAGCAAAAAGGACGTGAAAATGTGTTTGTTGGCCAGGCCAGAACTGAATCCAGGCCTTGCTGGTCATGCTTCTATAGAGAACATGGGACACAACATGACTGCTGCTGGCTGGCGTTTGTGGCTGGTAGAGCGGAACAGTCTAGAACTCAGTCAGTCATTGTCCCACCACCACCCCAGTCTGTGAGATTTTGCTCACTCACCACCCATTGTATAATACAGAAAATCAACTTTATTTAAATCTTAGAAAGACATTACAATGTTAAGTTTTGCTTTGCATTGCTTAAAACAGCAGTCATTTAAAAATTGGTTTAATGCCACTACTAAACAAACGTGTGTATGTGTAAAACTTACAAAGAAGTGTCTTAAGAATAGTTTATAATAATATGGATGATATTGTGGCCTTGAAGTTGTATAGCTGAGGCCTAATATGTTAGGGTATAATAAGGAGTGGCAAACAGAAAATGATGCTGAATTTTACCTTGAGTCCTACCCACACTTTCAAGACCAACCAGCCCCAATTCATCCTGTGTTCTTATCTATCCCATGGTCTCTGAATCTGAACAGTACATTCTGTAACCTATATAAGCACAAATGTCAGTCAACTCTTTTCTTGTCTGATAATCTTATCATTTCATTAAATTAAATATAAGCTTCCAGAGAACAAACTGCGTGTCCCTATAATATTTAAACAGTGCTAGGTCTTCAGGTGTTTTCACTGACTTTATTATAACTTCGTGATCTGCAGAATTTGGAAGTCCATTAAATAACGTTTTGATGAGACAGTGAAACATGGAGCAGAGATGGGAAGAAAAATATGATGTGGGACTTTAAAAGCTGATTACCAGGTTGGGGGGTGGCTCAGCGGGAAAAGTGCTTGCCCCTCAAGCATGAGGGCCTGGGTTTGATTCTCAGTACTCATAAAAAAAGCCAGATGCCTGTGGGTCCGTAGTACTAGTGCTGGAGAGGTAGAGAGCCAGTCTAGCCAAATCAACGAGCTGTAGGCTCAGTGAAAGACCCTGTCTCAAAAAATAAGGTGGAGAGCAATAGAGGTAGATAGCCAACTTAAGTTCTGACTTCCACCCATGCCCCATGCGTGTGTGTGTGTGTGTGTGTGTGTGTGTGTGTGTGTACATACCATTTAATTTACAAAGCAGAACAGGTAGTTCTTTGTTTACTTGGTTTTTTTTGTTTGTTTTTTGTTTTTGTTTTTGTTTTTTGAGACAGTATTTCTCTGTGTAGTTTTGGTGCCTGTCCTGGATCTTGCTCTGTAGACCAGGCTGGCCTCGAACTCACAGAGATCCACCTGCCTCTGCCTCCCGAGCACTGGGATTAAAGGCATGCACCACCACCGCCTGGCTCAGAACAGGTAGTCCTTTGGTCAAGGAAATGCATTAGTAGAGTATGCAAATCCTTTGGCAATTACCTGGCTTTATAGACCTCTAAGGCTTTTGTACGGATTGTCTCCAGTTCTTTCCTGCATAGCTGTGTGGGCTTCTCCTGGGGACAATAGTTTCTAATGTCAGTCCCAAGGAACTCCAAGACTCCACCAGGCAGTGCTAAGGCTTGACTACAGGTGGGAGGGCCATCACAGCCATGTGATCTGTGGCTGCTCCTGCCCGGGTAGCAAAACAGGTGTTTGGCCTCCAGCTATCAGGCAGTAAAAAGACTTCCGTTAATCAAGGACTCAGTTTGCCCTTCACTGAAGGACTGAGTATTAGCTAACTCCACAGAGGGTCCCTGCCATTCGGAGAAGGAAAACATAAAGGCTGTTTCTGCCCCGTTCTTTTCTTCCCTCCTCCTTTAGAGATGGATAGAAAATAAGAGCGATGGTTTCGCCAGCAGTGGCCCTAGATCAAGGAAAAGTTCCACCAAACCAGGCGTTCATAGAGGGTGCACGTGACCTGCGGCTTATCCAAACATGTTAGCAATTCCCGGGAAAAGAGTTAGCCTCGACTCCCTCTGTAACTCATTTTCTCGATAATTAGTTCCTCTGACTCTGCTAGAATTCCCAGCTCGTCACTAACCTCAGATAAAAGGCTGCAAACGGTGACATCATTCTAGCCCAACAGCACTGGGAAAACAATGTTGCCATCAAATGAAGCTTTGAGCAGTGAGCCTCAAGTGCTCCTGCTCTTTACTACGCCACCAGCTTCTTCAACTACAAGGCTCTGGATCTCCTAAATTCTCCTCGTCCCTACCCACCTCTAAATGAAGAGAAAGAGCTAACAATGGTGTCGAGTAAGGCCTTCGGATTCATGGCAGCTCCACTAGAAACCAATGGATAATGACATGTTGGGCAATCCGTCTTAAGACCCTGCTCAATGAGTCTAAAATAGTTCTGCGGTTCTGGGGATTAAATGAGATAATACAAACCGGACTCCACCCAGCATGAGCCACAGAGTCGGTTCTCGTTAAATTCTAGGAAAAAAACCCTTCTAATTAATATGATCGATTTTCTCTTAAAGAACGGAGATAGATGCCTGGGCTGGGGAGATGGATCAAGGAGTATTGATAGACGCTTGCTGTGGATTCCCACAACGCACATGGCAGGAGAGAACCTACTACTGCTGCCGTGTGGTTGCCCGTGCCTCCCCTGCACGCACACAATAAACAAATGTAATAAAAATAAATGTGGAAGGAGACGACGTGTTTACAATCAAATTCTAGTGGCGCTGTATAAGAAAGCAAAAGCTTCTAAAATGTTAAAGCTTTGATAGTTTTAAATAATGCGCACACACACACACACACACACACACACACAATCAGTGCACAGTCTTGGGGGAAAAGCGGGGCATTATCTAAATCAAGTTCCAACTTTAATGGCCACGCTGGCTGGTTGACTTGGATCCTTTGGGCAGGTGGCTAGAAGGTTTTCTTTCTGAGGAATCATTCCTCACTCCTCGGTTCTCTTGGGGAGGGGTAAAAAAAAAATCTGCCCTTCCTTTACCAGTCCAATGACAAGTCGAAGCCCCACCCTGAGAAGCTCTGTGACCCCACATGTGGCTCGTGATGTCCCTGCGCGGAAGGGGACACGACCCACAAGGGGCAGAAGAGAGACTAAAATGACCCGGGTTCCCTGTCCGTCCAAGCATGGGGTGGTGGATGGGGCAGCGGCCAGGGCTTGGTGGCCCCTGACCTTGGCCAGGGTCGGTGTGTTTGGCACTAGTCCCCTTCCTCGCCGCCTACCGGCGCTGCGCACTGCCCCGCCCGCCCTCGCGGCCGGTTGATTGACACCGACACCGGAGTGGGTACATACGGGTCCACGGCGGCGCAGCAGGGCTGGCGTAGGGAAACATGGCTTTCCCTCTCCCGGCCTTCCGCCGGCATCGCTCCCGCCCTGGGCACTGCCCGGGGGACCCTCCCGACCCCGCCTGGCTCCTCGGACTCTTTCCACGGTTTTCGATTTCCCTGGCCTGGGAGACTCTTCCAGCTGCTTTCCCTCCACCCTGAGAACAACCTGGAGTTTGCCAAGAGGAAACTCCTGCGAGGGGGATGGACACCCGCCCTGGCTGCCGCTGGCAAGAGGTGGCAACCATTGGAGCCAGGAGTTGATGGAGAGAGGAGGACACTTCCCTGGAGGGAAAGTAACACTCGGAGCTCGGTGCGGGGCCAGAGAGGTCTGCAACAGGCAGCTGCAAAAGGAGCCGGCAGCCGCGGTGTCCAGTGCCTACGAGTTACAGGCGCATCCTTGCGTCCATCGCAGCGCCGGGGGCTTGCTCCGAGCACACTCGAGGGCCTGCGAGCGATTTTTTTCAGCAGGACTTACCTTTCTCTTCGGCATAATGACTACGTCGGTGCAGCAAAAAAAGTAAAAGCAACGGGCTGGGCCGCCTGGCACGCCGCTGGATGCTGCCTAGCCGCTGCAGCTGCTCCCGCAATGGGATCGGCTAGCCCGGCCTCTCCGACCTGCACCTCCGCTTCCTCCCCCGGCGCTCCACTCGCTCGCATCCCGGTCCCCCAATGGCGAGCCCCGCCAGCCGGCCGCGAGGCCCCATTGGCTGAGGGAACGTTCTAAATTCCACGAGGGCACGCCCACCCCTGCTCACCCGGTACGTGCAGTTGTAGTTTCTACTTCACAAAAAAAAAAAAAAAAAAAAATCTGCCTGCGACTGAGCATGCCCAGTTCAACTAGTAGCCTTCAGGCCACTCTCCTGGAGTTCCATTGTTTCACGCGCCTTCTTTGGATGGGAGCAGTGTGCACCTTCATAGAAGAGAAGAGTTAAGTATTGACATGTTAACTTTATAATGTCAATAGGGACACGGGGTACCTTGTACACTTGTTACTCATAAAAGCTTGTAATGGGTGTTCATGGTGCAGATCTTAGCCCCATCTCTAGCAAATACAAAAATGCCTCGGTCTAATTGTGGTTTATTATTATTATTATTATTTATTTTAATCTGTGGTTACAAGTCACATATGAATTCGGCCAATTAGTCAGTTCTGTGAAAATGGATATAGTGTGTTTGTTGTGAGAATTAGGGAGAAATTGAGGAAGGTAGGAGCACATTTGTATTTTAAGTATGTACATTTAAACTATACCTGCCGTGTTACCTTTCATGTGTAGTGTGATGTTTCTCAAAGTTCTACAAAGAATTGCAAAATACATTTCTGAATTTATTTTATAAGACCACTTTTATCCTGATGAAAAACCTCGGTGGTGGCGTTGGGGGAGAATTTTAGGTCAACACTCTTTATAAACATAGGCACAAAGCCAGGTGGTGGTGGTGCATGCCTTTAATCCCAGCACTCAGGAGGCAGAGCCAGGTAGATCTCAGTGAGTTCGAGGCCAGCCTGGGCTACAGAGGGAGTTCCAGGAAAGGCTCCAAAGCTACACAGAGAAACCCTGCCTCAAATAAACAATCAAACAAAACAAAACAAAAAAAAATCCATAGGTACAAAGACAGGGCCAAAATTTTAGCAAATCAAATTCAACGTTAAGAAGATAACACATGACCAGGGAAGTTGGCCCAGAACACAGAATTTGTTCAACATTTGAAAATCAGTCAGTGTAATCAGCACATTACTATGATAAGGAATCCAATCATCTTAACAGCTGCAGGAAAAATGCTAGTGAATGGGTGAGCAAGTTGTGATAAATCTGTACAATGGAATATTACTCTGCTATAAAAGAAATGAGCTATCCCTGCTTAGATAAGTAGCAAAAGCAAAATGCAAAATGCAAACCAATACAAGGCAGGACAATGAGTAATTTAATTTATACAAAATTACAGGGAAAGCCAATGAAACCGAACAAAGTTAGCATCAGAATTGTTCACAAGGCAAAAGTCTCATCATAGGACCTTACATGGAAGCCTTACACTACATAGGATGGAATCTGCTTTCCTCACACAGAGGCTGCATGGAAGTATCAAAGTCATGAGGCAATTCACGTTGATACCTACTTCACCTTTTCCTTGTTCATTTTCAGAATAAATAAGTTGGAATCCTTGCAAGCTTGGGAGGTAATGGACGGCTTCCGTTTTTGGTGCATCTTTACAAACCTGCGGCGTAGCTCGGTCTTTTTCTGTCACTGAGGTGTGCTGCAATATCCTGCTGCTTTTATTGTCTTAGTGCCCATAGTTTCCCATCTTCAGTCAGAGAGAGTGCCCTTCGGACATGGTCCCAGTTGTCTTTGATGGATGCCTTGCTCTCAGAAACTCAATGGATGACATATTCAAAAGAAACAAGATAAGACCAATTCATTGCTTTAGAGCCGAACAAAAACCTAGACGTTCATAATTTTACCATTAAAGAAAAATTTATAAC